CTTCTTCTTCTTCTTCTTCTTCTTCTTCTTCTTCTTCTTCTTCTTCTTCTTCTACAAAAAACCCCAAACAAACAAACAAACAAACAAAAACAGCAACATATCTTTGCCTTTCAACAGCCAGTCACTTTGAAATATCTTCAAAACACTTTCCTCGCCTTATTTAAGATATCGATACCAGAAACACTTTCCTCGCCTTATTTTAAGATACCGATACCAGACCAAGGCAGACAATATTTGCGCCGTGTTTTAAACTATTAAATGGAAATGATAACTCAATTTCGCTCCAAACTGGGTATAAACGAGTACTGCCTTTTAGAATAAAACTCAATGACGGGGGTTTCGAACTCGTATCGTTCACATCTCCGTGTTTGGGCTTACTTGTAGTCCTCCGGATGTTGGGAGATGGAGAACTCCATGAGCCAGCGGAGCCACATGAGGCAGATGATCACCATGTCTACGATGTTGTGGCCGTTTCTGGGGACGGACAAATCAAAGGTACGATGGATTGTCTCAGGTTGGGTAAGAGTTATACGGCACTTGCAACATCGCAATAAGGTGATACAAGTACCGGAGATTAAAGGTGTTACAAAAGATTCACACACACACACACACACACACACACACACACACACACACACACACACACACACACACACACACACACCATCACACAAACACACACACGCACTCATAAAGGAAGGAGGGAGAGATAAGGACGATATGTTTGATATGAAAGGAGGAGCAAACCACACCACAGCACCAGCTAACTACACACACGATGGATTGTTAATACATAGATATTGACAGATTTAACGTCCCCTAGGATGAATTTTGTTTGTCTGTTTGGGTAAAGAGAATCATATCAACACAATAATGGCCTTTTAGTGCAGGGAAAATGTAAGCAGGCCAGACAGACGGAAAGAGAGGGAAAGTAAAGAAGTAGGACCTACCAATGGTGCCCTCCAACTACCCGTTAGTTGAATTTTATTTGTGTAAAGTATACTAGCGAGCAAAAGAAATGCAAAAAAAACCCCAAACTATTTTGGCCATACCAAAAATACATCTATGGTAGAAGACTGAAGTTTACACCATTGATAGTATGTCATACCCTCTTTCGAAATAAAAAATTACCCGTCTTGTTTGTCACCGGCAACTAGAGTTATTGCCCCTTAATTGAAGCATGGAGAAAGTTACTGGGTACCTCCGAAACACAGAGAAAAAAGAGAGAAAAATATTCACCTGAGCTTGGCTATAAAAGCCGTGATAAAAAAATCGGTTCGGTCTTTCGCCTGCATTTGCAGCAATGCCAGATTTTAGGGCTATACTGCAAGAAAGAGCAATAGGCTGTTTGGAGGGCGGAGAAAGGCCAATTGCGGTCTCCAATCATTTTGGTGTTCACATCCACAGACTGACAAGCCGTTTTCAGCTCACGAATTCTGCGGCGGAGCGAAAAAGGTCAGGTCGACCCAGAGTGACCGATGCACGTACATACAGACACATTGTCCGGATGTATCGTTCAAATCGACTTCAGACAGCTACAAGAACATCATAATATATTTGACAAGGGATACCCAAGGAGGAGCTAGAAGTCGACACACAATGAACCGACGATGGCGTCTGATGGGCCGTCGACCTTACCATGATGGTCCAGTCTTGACCGGACACCATCACAAAGAGCGTCTCAACTGGGCTCAGCACCATGTCAACAGGCGTCAGAGAGACTGGTCCTTGGTTCTCTTTTTCGGACAAATGCCTGTTCTCCATAGATACAACAAACAGGGGCCTCACAGTTTGTCAAGATGGAGGCGAACGTTATCGTGACAACTGTGTCAAAGAGAGGAATCAGTGGGGAGGACATCACGTCATGATCTGGGATGGAATCATGTGGAACCACAGAGTAGTAACAATGATCTTCCAAATCAAGGCCAAGGTCGAGGTCAAGGTATCAATGCTGCCCGCTGCATCGCAGAAGTTCTTAGGCCCCTCAACACAGACAAAATTTAAACTTCCGGGTTCAGAAAAGTAATGATTATACGCACACTTCCCGTGTTACACAGGAATTTCTTTAACACCATAGCATCACTCTGCAGCCTCACCCTGCCCTTAGCACCGATTTAAACCCAAATAAAAATTTTTGGTAAGAAATTAAACGACGCATCAAGTGGAGACAATTAAGGCCGAGAATCACGCAGGAACTGAAAGTGGCCATCCAGGAGATATGGAGGCACATCACGCTACGTTTTACTAACAACCAAGTGGCTTCCTTGTACCGGAGATGCACTGCGGTTATCCGATCTACTGGCGGCCATAACCACTGCTGATGGCATGCTTCGCGCGTTTCTACTGTTGCCAGGACATTCAAAGTTTCTCTCTCTCTCTCTCTCCCCCCCC